ATTTATTGATCAAATGGTTGTTAACAACAATAAAATTCTGTATAGGGGACTCAATGCACAATCATTAATCAACCCCAAGCCTAATTCTCAACAGTCTCCAATCTTCTGAAGCATAACAAACACGTTCTTACATGGTGAACAAGTTCTTACATAGTGAATAAGTGACTACCCATTCTTGTAATTCATTTTGGTGACAGTGAGACAACACTTATTGTAACATCATTTGAACATCTGACAATCTTTATTGAGTGTCATCTGGGGTCCCAGGATGTTCCAGGCATGGGGGCTAGAGCTGTAGGCAAGTCAGGAGAAGTTCCTGCCTTCTTGGAGATTACATTCTCTGGGGAATGAGATACAGTGAACAATCCAGACCATAGCAGACAGTGGTAAGGACTATGAAAAGAGTTAAAACAGGGCCAGGTGATAGAGGGTGACTGGGTGGCTACTTAGAGTGGATAGTCAGAGAAATTCTCTTTGAGAAGAGACATGTGACCAAGATGTGAATGACAAGATGGAGCCAGCCAGGTGAAGATCAGGGTAAGAGCATCTCAGGAAGAGGAAAAAACTGTGTAAAGGTCTTGAAAAGTGGAGAAGTAGATGTTGACAGCGTGGCTAGAGAGTAGCAAGCAAGGAGGAGAAGTGGGTTGAGGTCAGAGAGACAACAGGGACTGAGTCACACTGTAAGCCAGGGTAAGGAGTTTGGAATTTTAATTCCAAGTACCATGGGAAGTAACTGGGGAGTTGTAAATGCTCCCATTTTACACCCTTCAGTCAATTATATTAGAGCAATAGAACCGGTTTTTGTTTTAAAAAGAATATTAGCTGTTGTAAGAATGCAGTAGGTAAGAATAGATGTTGTTCCTGTACTGAGATTGCCCCTATAGGTGTGGCACTCAATCAAAGTGGTAACAGTAGGCAAGTAACATCTGCCTGGAGTCATCCCTGTTTTTTGCTCCCCCAGAAACCTCATCTGGGCTTATTTTCTATATCCTATTGTTATATATCAAGGTAAGAATTTTGTCTTCTAGGAGTCCCTTGCTGCTCTCCAGGAATGATCAGGTAGGAATAAGCATTCAGGAGTGCAGGAGTAACACTGAAGTATGCAATAGATCATGTGGAGACTAACACAGAGTAACACTGGCCTTATATTCAGGGAAAGTGTTCATAACTAAGTGTGGGCACCAAAAGGAAGGAGAACCTCAATTCCTAGCCTGGCCATTGCCCATCAGGTGAGCTGCTGAAGCCTATTTGCTCGCAGAATACCTTCCATGTTTAGCCTCCTCTGTGGGCAGGAGCAAGTAGAATATTCTCCTCAGGTATGTCAAGAGCCAACAGAATTTTTGTAGCCTTACTTTCCTAGTTGCATGTATAAAACTGTCCAGTTCTTTTTTACTTTAAAGAATATAAATTATAACAAGTGAGCAGTTTTATTACTAGGATGCACATATTTGAAGGTGTAACAAAATATGTGATTATTTCAACATATCTAAACATTGTGGTATTGACCTATGCTAAACACTAAGTTGAATTAAGAATATATGGGGAAAGGTCATTTTCTAATGATAAAGAAAGAGGGGAAAATGGTATTTGTCTTTCAGAATAAGACACATGCAGTTATTACCTGTGACAAAGCAGCATCTCATTCCTTTATCACTGCATTCATTTCTTCCGCAATTATTCTCTTTTTACATTCCTTGGTCTGGTAGATTCTATCCACAATTATAGCTCCATTCTTCTTAATAGCTATCCTAGTGTCTGCATTGTTTATTCTTTTCAGTAATACCTGCAATTTCTTCAGGGTTAATATTTTCTAGCACTTTTAGAGACATTTCCATATTCTTGGCTCATGCAATTGCTTCATCTCGCTCCTCATTGGCCAACCATAGTCGAGACATAATAGCTTCATCACGTTCTCTCTGTGCAAAATACACTTCTTCAACTAGTGCTGCTGTCTTTTCAGCAATTTGAGCTTCTATTGCTTTCTCTTGGAGTTCCAGCTTAAGCTTTAGTTTTCTCTGTTCTTTATCTTTAGTCAGTTTTTCTTGAAACTTTTTATTGCTTGTCCTGAGAATGTCCAATTCTTTAAGAAGAAATGTCATTGTCTTCTCTTTATTTAAGTCTGAAGTAACTTGAGAAGGAATCATAAATTCATAATGCAAATCATTATTCCTATGTTCCATTATGTTGGATTTTTCAGTAGTGCAGTAAGCTGTCTTATCACCTGGATAAGGAAAACTCTTGATCTCTGCCCTGGCAATTGTGTGTTCTCATATGTGGCTTCATTAACTAATTCATTGGATTTCTGATGCATGCTTCCTTTAGAATTCATAGTCGGTTGCTCATCTGGCTGTGTACTTTTATTTCTTTCTGTAGTCTCTTGTTTAAGATAATCATGGACTATATCATTTTTCGTATTTATTCTTCTCAGTAATTATCATTTTTTTAAAGGACCAAGAATTCCATAGGGAGAGTGTAGCCCAACTGATTTAAAACACTCTTTCACAGATGGATGGAATAACAGTGATAACCACCGCCAACATTTAGGCCCTTTTGACCAGTCCTCCATTTGTACTTCAGTTCTTGTTTGCTCTGGCAATGTCGGTTTTTGTTCCAAGATTTGAAGCTCACAGTGAGAACTCTGGGTTCTTTAGAAAGTCCTCAAATAAAGCTGTAGTAAGCTTCTCCTTTTCCAATTTTCTCTAAATATGTTGATCTGGAGTTGGCAATATTTCTCTAAATTCCTCATTTACTTTTGGATTAGCTGAGATGAGCCCAGCACCAACCCAGGAACGACTCTGAGCGATGCCCAGTTTCTCAGGCCGCAGGCGCAGCCACGTGTCAGTCAATCGCTGCTCATTCGGAACCTCCCCCGCACGAGGAGAGCCCCCCAAATTGTCCAGTTTTAATTTTCCAGTTATTCAGAGTGAAGAATGTTAGATGTTTATCTAGGCCAAGGTTTTCTTGCTTGCTTTTGGTCCCTATAAAGTCAAGACTGCTGATGACTTGTCAGAGAGACCAAAAACTCTCGTATTCATAAACTTCCTCCCTAAAAGGACCAGATCCTGCTTCCTGTATCTTCTTAATCATTATTTTGAGAACTGCCAGCACCTGAGCCTATGTGTTTCCCAGTTACAGCATTGTAAAGCCTTCTTATCACAGTCTTAACATCTAGCATGTTTGCAAACTCTGTTAATTTTAAAAAGAGCTACTTTTTGGAGACAGTGCTCAATGGAAGCAGATGCCCCTGCTCCCCACCTTACCAGCTCTGCTTTTGCCTGTATTTCCACAATAAAAGTATCCACCTGCTGGACTTTTTCACTGCTGTATCCTTAACACTTAGAACAGAAGCTGGCACATAATAATTGAACAAATATTTACTGAATGAGAGGTTGAATGGTTTGGAATTTGTTCTGTGTTGGCTCCCGCCAGGACCCTACATATACTATATGTCTTCCCTATGACCAGCACCCCCAGCTCATCTACTTGTTTAGGCTCAACCCGCTACATTTACATTCTGAAGGGCAAGCATAGTTATAAAGACACAGTACAGCGCCTTCTACAACTTTCTGCAGGGGTTCCAGGAGAAACAATAGTGGGTCGTAGCACTGATATGCCTATTGATACTTGTAGGTTGTGTTTGAGGGAAGATCTTTTATGTGCTTTCATCCGTAAGTCTGAAAAGCCAATGATGACCCAGAATCACTTCAGAGAGATCCAAGAAAAATATACACAGCAGGGAGTGGGAGAAATTGGAGATTTGGACACTGGCCTGAAGGAGGAAGTTAACACCTGTGCAGGGGTTTTAAACTAGATGGTGAAGAACAGGCCATGCCATCACATTAACAAACACATGGAGAGGCTGCCAAAACTTGGGGTGTAAAGTATCCCCAGAGTTTAATTTTTAAACCAAAGCATAAACATTCAAAGTGGTTATATACGAAGTCTCCTGAGAAGGAATGACTAGCAGTCTTGAAGGACCATTTTGGAAAGAAGTTGTGCGCATCCACACATCCACACACAGAATGTGCCATTGTTTGAATTTGCTGTAAATAACCATCCTAGGGCCAGGAACTGTGTCATACGGATCTTTGTGTCCCCGTTACCTCGCAGTGCCTCTTAATGAAAAAACATTCATTTTCAGTAAGTTTTATTGGTGTTCTGACATTAAAAAGTCTTAAATTCTCTTCTAGGCCAGTAAAACGGATTGCTGAATACCTCAGGCCATTAAGTTTGTGTAGAGAGTAACACAAAACAAGCGGAAATTTTCAGAAGTTTTCCTTCCCCCGATTTAGAAACCCTGATTAGTTTGGGCAGGACTCAGATCGGCAATCCCTCCTTGAACGCTGGATTTGTGTGGGCGTGGTAGAGAGGCTATCCCCTAACCCATATCAAAATAATTCTAAAACCGAAAGTTAGCTCGATTATCTGTCCTTCTAACGGCTCGGTTCCCCTGCTACCGCCTTGATCTAATTACCAAAACGGCCGCCACCGCGCTCGCCCGTCATTGGTCGAACTTTCCTCAGGCGGCGGTTCTAGTCCCTCTGGGTCCTAAATTCTCCAGAGTACAGTCGAAAGACCTCAAACAGGGGCGGGGCGGGTGCCGGATGTGACGTTTCCGGAAGCGCGGAGTGTCGTCTGTGGGGACAGGTGGGGAAGGGGGTCCCGGGAATGTGGTGGGGCCCGGACGCCGAGCGTGAGCCGACTCTGACGGGGAGCGGCCGCCGTGAGTGTGGGCCTGCAGCCTTCTTCTGCCGCGCGCCCCCTGCCCGGGCCGCCGCGCGCAAGGCCCCTGGTGGCCGCCTTCCCCAGCCGGGCCCAGCGCGTCCCCGCCTGCCGCACTGGAAAGACCCGAAAACCTTGAACATTTTTGTCCCGGGTTGGCAACTTGGGCCTGGCTGCCTTCGAAAAGGGAGCCTCAAGCAGTTGTCAGGCGGCCCCTCTCGACACTATACGCCCCCTCCGCTGGCCCCCTACCCCCTTTCAGGCCTTTAGGCCACGTTCCTCTCGTATCTGCGGACGCTGCATCTCTTCTTTGGGGTGCTGCCCAGCCCTGTAGAACCAGGCACCGCTCTGACCTTGGTAGGGGATTCCATTCTCCTCCCAAAAGATCCTCTCCCGAGAGGTAGTGAGGTACAAGCACCCTCTGCTTCATTTTGCACTGATGGGCTCTGGACTGTTTACTAATTAGGCAACTTGGGGACGTTTTAGATTTGCTAGCGGCTTTCTGAGCCCTTAAAAAGGCTTGGTGGGAGATGGGATGCCTCTGTGTTCCTCGCCGTCCCCACAACTTTTGTACTATTGGTGGGTGTTTTAGAGAACGAGTTTGGTGCAAAAAGCGTGACCTAGGGATAGAACTGGCCGAGGGGAGGACTATCTCTGAGGGACGGTTAGAGTGGAACACAGAAAAACTGGTTAGACTAGTGATTGGTGAGGATTTCTGGGCAGATCAGAATCCTGACTGAAGTAAAAGATCTCTTTTGGGAGGAAGGAAGCCTTAAGACTAAAAGATAAAACAAGGCCTGTAGACCTAGGGCCTTGAATTCCGAAGTGAATTCTACTATAGCTTGTGTATTTTAGAGCATGCGAAATGCTAGGGTATGCTGTATTTTTATGTGTATCAGATACCCAGATTCTTTTTGGAAATGATGTAGAGTTATATCTGATTAGAAGTTGGAATCTGATTCTAACAGCTACAATATCTAGAAAGATTGTAGAATTATTGCAGCTTGAGACCCAGGGAGGGAAAACTCCCACGTTTTTTTGTTAGTTTGCCTTTGGCATTGCAAGTTACCTTTGTGCCTTTTGTTACTCAAAGAGTCTTAGTCTTTGAAGATAGATTTCAATAAATTGTTTTCAAGATCTAAATTCCTTGCCCTGATATGACAAATAATGTTATAGATTGGAATAGTGGTTTAGTGAGCAGAGTTAGAATTATGAGCATTCATTCACAGACTAGTTCCTTTAACCTTGTGCTCAAATATGAAAAAAGTACACCATAGAAAAATGCCAGTTGCTCTCACATTAAATACCAATGATCAAACTTAAGTCAGTTAGCAATCATCATGAAAGTTTATTGAGTATACTCTGCCATGGAGGGGATTGAAACAGGTGGCTGGGAAGAGAAATAATTAAAAAATTTAAGATACTGTCCCTCCTTTTATGGTGCTGAGGGAAGGGTCACCTAATGATAGGGAATGATTAGCATGGAAAGTAGATGTAAATTTTATTCCTTGTACCACCTGCTAATGGCACAGGTATTGTGAGTTTTTGAGTCTGCCAATCCTTTCACCATTAAAATAAGGGCTTCCTTGAGGGTCTTATCCTTTTCATGGGAAAGAGACCTTATTTGATATGAGCCATAACATAGGGTATTTTTCTCTTAATTTCTTTGTCATGTAGAGGTTATGGGATGAACACACTGTGTAGTAGGCTGTGCGGCCATAATGTGGCCATGGTTGATGCCATCTGTTTTTTTCTTTTCTGCTCAGAACTTGGTCCTGATGTTTGACCATGGAGATGTGAGCCTTCCGCCCGAAGACCGAGTGAGGGCTCTCTCCCAGATAGGCAGCACGGTGGAAATAAATGAAGACATTCCACCTCGTCGGTACTTCCGCTCTGGAGTCGAGATGATCAGAATGGCCTCCATTTACTCTGAGGAAGGCAATATTGAACATGCCTTCATCCTTTATAACAAGTACATCACGTAAGACACCTCCAGTTTCCTTTTTCTTTTCCGGTGACTGATGCCTCACTCATTCTGCTCTTGTGCTTATTTATTCTGCTCAGAATTGCTAAAACTGGAGAACTTGACACCATCATTAGCATTAATCATTTTTACTGGCAACTCCTACATACTGGCTGTCCTTGACATTCAAACTCACGAGTACCAACAGTATTATTTTCATGACTCAATAATTTCATGAGTAAGAGACCTACCTCTTTGGCCTGTGCCCACATGGCCCAGCTGTTAGGCAAGAGAGTTGGTGGTTAAATTACACAGATTTTGTTTTGATTAATGTTTGTCTCTGTTAAGGCAGCCCATCATAGGATTATTATTAAGATTAACAGAGCCAAAATTCTTCACTTCTGCTTATTTTGTAGCAAATCGAGGTTCAGGAAAAAGTTTTGTTTTTTTTCTTAACCTTTATCATAATCATGCAAGTAATCAAATAAGTATTGACCACTTACAGATTGTGTGGCTTAACATAAGACCTTCCCTTGAGTTACTTAGCATCTTAGGTAGGCAGCATACATAGAAGATTTCAGTGCAGTTGATAGGGAACAACTCCTAAGGCCCCAATGATAATGAAATCATGTGTAATTTAGGAAGGGAATAATGTTAAAGGGTCTCATTTATCATTTTTAGTCTTATTCTTTCATAATAATAGGACCTTCTTAAAAAAATAACAACAGTGTATTTGTATAGTTTTTAATAGTTCATAGAGTATTTCACCTTCTTCATTTGGTCTTCACAGTTCAGTGTGCTCTGAGTTGGGCACATTATCCTCTCATTCTGTAAGTAAGGAACCATTCTCTGGGTTTAGTGACATGCTTTGTTCCACAGTTTGGAGTGACAAAACCTGGATTTTCTAACTCTTCAGGATTCACTCTTCATTATAAGCCCCATTCTTTTTGTTTTCCTTTTGGTAATTCTCTGTGAGCTGATAGTCTGAGATTATAGCTTTGAGCCACACTGACCACTTTTTGGTTACTTTAAAATTATTTTTTGAATAGGTGACATGTACATATGATACAGAATTCAGAAAGCACAAATGGGTGTTTATATATATATACATACATACATATATTTAAAATCAAAGTCTCCCTACCACTCCTCTTTTCCCCCAAATCCTCACTTCCCCTTCCCAGAGACAATCACTCTTACTAGTTTCTTATATGTCCTCCCAAAGATGATATATGCATAGCAATTATATCATATTTTTTTTATTAAGGTATTATTGATATACACATTTACGAAGGTTTCACAAGAAAAACAATGTGGTTATTACATTCACCCCTATTTTCTAGTCCCCCCTCATACCCCATTGCAGTCACTGCCCATCAGTGTAGTAAGATGCCACAGAGTCCCTATTTGTCTTCTTTGAGCTACACTGTTTTCACCGTGACCCCACACATACCATGTGCACCAATCATGATACCCCACAATCCCCTTCTCCTTTCCTCCCCTCTCCCTCTCCCCACTCCCTCCCCCTTGGTAACCACTAGTCCCTTCTTGGAGTCTGTGAGTCTGCTGCTATTTTGTTCCTTCAGTTTTGCTTCATTGTTGTACTCCACAAATGAGGGAAATCATTTGGTACTTGTCTTTCTCCGCCTGGCTTATTTCACTGAGCATAATATCCTCCTGCTTCATCCATGTTGCAAATGGTAGGATTTGTTTCTTTCTTATGGCTGAATAGTGTTCCACTGTGTTTATGTACTACATCTTTATCTATTCATCTACTGATGGACACTTAGGTTGCTTCCATATCTTGGCTATTGTAAATAGTGCTGCAATAAACATAGAGGTGCGTATGTCTTTTGGAGTCTGAGAAGTTGTATTCTTTGGGTAAATTCCAAGGAGTGGGATAACTGGGTCAAATGGTATTTCTATTTTTAGTTTTTTGAGGAACCTCCATATTGCTTTCCACAATGTTTGAACTAGTTTACATTCACAATGGTTGAACAGTGTAGGAGGGTTCCCCTTTCTCTGCATCCTCACCAGCGTTTGTTGTTCCTAGTCTTTTATATGTTGACCATCCCAACTGGTGTGAGGTGATATGTCATTGTGGTTTTAATTTGCATTTCCCTGATAATTAGCGATGTGGAACATCTTTTCATGTGCCTGTTGGCCATCTGCATTTCTTCTTTGGAGAAGTGTCTGTTCATATCCTCCACCCATTTTTTCACTGGGTTATTTGCTTTTTGGGTGTTGAGGCGTGTGCGTTCTTTATATATTTTGGATGTCAACTCCTTATTGGATATGTCACTTATGAATATATTCTTCCATACTGTAGGATGCCTTTTTGTTCTGCTGATGGTGTCCTTTGCTATACAGAAGCTTTTTAGCTTGATGTAGTCCCATTTGTTCATTTTTGCTTCTGTTTCCTTGTCCGAGGAGATGTGTTCAGGAAAAAGTTGCTCATGTTTATATTCAAGAGATTTTAACCTATGTTTTCTTCTGAGAGTTTTGTGGTTTCATGACTTACATTCAGGTCTTTGATCCATTTTGAGTTTATTTTTGTGTATGGGGTTAGACAATAATTCAGTTTCATTCTTTTGCGTGTAGCTGTCCAATTTTGCCAACACCAGTTGTTGAAGAGGCTGTCATTTCCCCATTGTATATGCATGGCTCCTTTATAGTATATTCACATTAGATTTTTGATCACATACTACTCGAAGGGTTTGTCAGTGTTGTTGACATTTGAGATGGAATAATTCTTTGTTGTGGAGACTGTCCTCTATGTTGTAGGCTGTTTAGCTGTGTCCCTGGTCAGTACCCACTAGATGCCAGTAGCACCTCTTCCCCCACTGTGATGACCAAAAATGTCTCCAGACCTTACCTAATGGTTTCTGAGGGGCAAAACTGCCCTGGTTGAGATCCAGTGCCCTAAAGAAAAGGAGGTGGAAGAAAGGGACTGCTGTTGTCTTTACTTTTTATCTTTTTTAAGTTTAGAAGTAGTGCCTGTTTACTCAGATACCTTGCAGTTCATCTATGACATCATTCCCTGTTATGTGACTTAAATGTAGATAAATCGATATATAACTATAATTACATTTCTGCCTCTCTTTGCAGTTATGAATTTTTTATTCCTAGGCACAGTGGGCACAAAAATTTCTTTGAGTTTCTTTGGCTATTGTTCCTCTTTTTATATACTCTGATCCTGGTAGAAATAGTATCCTTGTATATTTCTGGTAATCTTGTAGATAGTTCTCCCAGAATGAGACTTAGGGGCACAATTGCTTTGGGGAATCATCGTTGGTGATGTTCAGTAGAATCATGGACTCACTCTACCAGGTATTTTCTGAGGGCCTTCTGTGTGCTGTTGCCCCACATAGAAAGTGCTTTGAGAGCAAGGACCATATTCATTCACCAAATATATATTGCATATACCTGCCATCTACTTGGCACCACTCTAGGTCTTGGATACATAGTAAGTAAAATGGGCCCTGACCTTACTGGTGTATGTTCCTAATTTATTAGCACAATAAATGGGTAAGCAAATAAATATATAGTCACAAAATAAGGAAAATGCTATGAAAGCAATAAAGTGCTATGTCAGAATAACCCAAAGGTATCTAATTAGACTTGAAGGGTGCTGTAGAGTTCGTCATTCCAAGTACATAAAGCAGAGCATTTAAAACATGTAACTGTGTTCAGAAGCTCCTAGGTAGCAAAGACCCTAGTGTTCTGAAGATTGTTGTGTTTGGAGCATAGCTAGCGAACAGGGAGAATGATTCCCAGTGAGGTTGGAGAGGCAGGCTGGGCTGAATCATACAGGATATTATGACCCAGAGTAAGGAGTTTGCATTTTCCCTAAAGAGCAACAGGAAGCCATTGAAAAGTACTAAGTAAGGTTGTGACTGTTTTGTGGTAAGTGATGGAGAGAGTGTAAAGAGAAGGCAGGGAGATTAGTTAGGAAACTCTTAACAGCAATTCAAGAGAGAGGCTGGCAGCATGAATGAATGTGGTGGCCTGGAAAGAAGCAGATGGATTTGTATTCTGGAGGTAGAGTTCACAGGACTTCCGGACAGTTTGGGAAAGAAGATAGTATCAAAGCTGACCTCAGCTTTCTGCCTTGAGTAACTTAGGATGTGCTGGTCCGTTAACTGAGATGGGGAGAGTGGTATTGAAAAAACTGTTGGTAGTGGGGAGATTCAAGAGTTCAGACTTGGGTTTTTTTATGTTTTCAGGTGTTAAGTTTAAGATGTCTATGTGATATCAAGTAGAGATGTCCAGTAGGAAGTTGGATGTATCAGTCTGAACTCAAAGGTCTGGGTTACAGATAACAGACCCAGAAGTCCTCAACATAGAGATGGTTCTGAAGCCGTGAGAACCTCTGGGACCTTCCAGTGCAGAGGTTCTGAATATGGAATCCAGGAACCCCACAAGGATTCATTTATGTAATTTGGGGCCCATGAACTTGGCTGGGAAAAGCTTTTCTTGCTTTTACTAACCTCTAGTTGAAATTTAGCATTTCCTTCCATTTTGAACATGGTCCTCAAACCACAGTAGTATTAATAATATTTGTAGTTTTGTCACCAATAGAAATCAGAATTTTCATATCACATTACAACTATTGCTGATATCTCAAAATAGCATTTACATTTATCACTACTTCAGAAATAATTGTAGAGTTACTAAACCCATGACTAGATCCTGTTTATTAATGTATTAAAAATGCATGAGTAAAGAAACATGTATCACAGTTTTGTATTTTGAAAACTGTATTTCTTTTGTAATCCTTCACATTTAATATCACATCTTTAAAAGTTAATCTGAGGTGTCCATAGGCTTTATCAGATGCCAGAAGGATCCTTGACACAAGGATCAAGAACCCTTAATAATGAGACTGTAGAATGAGAAGAGAAGGAGCTTAGGGTTGAGCCCTGAGGTTGGTTAGTGGAGGGAGGGCCAGCAGATGAGACTTTGCAGGAAGGTTTGAGAGGCAGGAGGAAACCCAAGAGAGAGTGGTGTCATGGGAA